CAGAAACTTGTGATTCCAGTTGGAGAGCTTGTTTTGGGTAATCTCATGCAAGATCTGTATCTCCAGGCTCGGAATGGCATCAGTTTTGATTTGCTTGCTAATAGAAACCTTTCTGTTTCCAATTATTTTTCTTGATTGGGGAGACAACTTATTTCCCATGACACAGTTAAAAAGAAATGGAGAGTCTCGAGGAGGGAAGCCATCAAGATGATTTAACAATGTTTTCTTTCTAGTTTGTTTTACTTAAACTTCCCTCAGATCTTAATTGGATGAAGGGCCTGCCAGGCTATAAAAGTGCTGGTCCAATAGCTGTAAGATGTGGTTCAGTAATTACAATACTGTGAAAAGAACAAGAGTACTTGTGGCACCTTAGAGACTAACAAATTTATCGGCGCATAAGCTTTCGTGTGCTACTGCCCACTTCTTCGGGTGCATATCACATGATTCACAGTGCTGTGAGGCACTCCAAGCCCTGTGTCGGTAGCAAATGAAATCCAAATCTCTGTTCTGAAATGGACACCCATTAGTCATTGAAAGCTGCTCTTTGAGGGAATGGTAGCTTGCTCTTTGAACATACCGTGGAAGGAGTCTTGGAAAAGAGACGACTAAGGGGAGATATGATAGAGGTCTATAAAATCATGACTGGTGTGGAGAAAGTAAATAAGGAAATGTTATTTACTCCTTATAACACACAAACTAGGGGCCACCAAATGAAATTAATAGGCAGCAGGTTTAAAACAAACAAAAGGAAGTATTTTTTCACACAACGCACAGTCAACCTGTGGAACTCCTTGCCACAGGATGTTGTGAAGGCCAAGACTATAACAGGGTTAAAAAAAGAACTAGATAAATTCATGGAGGATAGGTCCATCGGTGGCTATTAACCAGGATGGACAGGGATGGTGTCCCTAGCCCCTGTTTGCCAGAAGCTGGGAATGGGCGACAGGGGATGGATCACTGGATGATTCCCTGTTCTGTTCATTCCCTCTGGGGCACCCGGCATTGGCTACTCTCAGTAGACAGGACATTGGGTTAGATGGACCATTGGTCTGACCCAGTCTGGCTGTTTTCATGTTCTTGAGGAGTCCAGGCATTCTGCTTTGGAAGCTGAATTCCACAGCTGTCTCCATGACTGCAGACTTGGGAAGCTCAAGGGGCACCAGAAATGTACTGCAGTGCACTTACCTCTGTGTGCATAATTTATCATTGCTGACTTAGCTGCTGCAAGCGCCTGCCCTTCCTTTCCTGGAGGCTGCTTCCGCTCTAATCTGTACTGCCGGGTGTGTTGCCTGTGCAGGCAATGGAGTTCTGTAAAACCCCCATTGGTGGTATGGGGAGAGTGGCAGAGAGTTCAGAAGGCCGCGTGGGGTTTGAGTGAGGCGAGGTACTCCATTCCCTCCATGCGCCGGTGTGATGCGTAGAGAAGGTTAGGAGGTTGCTAAAACGTTTTAGTGTTTGCTTGGGAAATGTTTATCCTATGGAGTGATGTAAATAGGTAATTTGGAATAAATCTCATATACTGTGTAGCATCAAAATTACTGTATTGATTGCAACATTAGACGCAGGCCTGTGAGTACCTCGGAAGGTTCAGGGATCGAACGCCCAGGCCTTGTGACACATTTAACAATCGCAGGCACACGTCACTAGAGCAGGGCAATAATTGTTTCTTTATACAACAGTCAAGCTGGCCCAACACGACTACCAACAGTGAATAAGGGGCAAATCATCGGTGTGAGGAAGAACCAGAACAATGAAATAGAAAATTATTAATGTAAGAAACTGTGATGTTTCCTGGGGATACCCATGAGGGTGAGGCATCTTGCTTCGCCCTGCCCTTAGCGTGAGGTCTGTGCCTGCCGTGTGTCAGCTCCCTGACTCCACTGGCCACGGTCAACACAAGCACTCCCCTCTTAGCCTACCAGGCTCTGCTGTCCCTCTGCAGGTTAGCGGTAGGCACGCCCCAACCTCCGAATGTCCAGCCCCTGGTCTGCTGAACACTCTCAGATTTGCTGCTCGCCAAGGAACAGTATCCCCCCCCCCCCTACTAGTTACACCCGAGATCGCAGCGCCACTTCCCACACAGCACTTGGGTATGTTTATCGTGAAAACAAGCAAAAGCTTATTTAATATAGAGTAGGGATTCAAATGAAAAGTAGAAATATTGGAAACAAATGGTTACATGTAAAATAAAAACAGCATCTCTTATATGGCAATGCTCAGCCCAGATCCTTCCAGTTTATTACAGCCAAGCTTGGCTGTGATCTCCCATTCATGACACTGTCCTCTGGTCTCCTCAGTGGAAAGATGCGGGGGGTACCTCTCCCCCAAATATACTCCACCACTCCATTGTCTTCATGGCTAACCAGGATCTCCCCTGTGCCTCTTTCTTGTCCATTTCACAATCTCTTGATTAGCATCCAGCTCAGACTGTAGACAGGCCTCCATTGTGGAGTGGATGATACACACCACACATGACCAGTGAGTGAGAGAGAGAAGCATTTATCCCCGTCTGGTGACCTTCCTTAATTCTCAGACCTTAAGAACATAATTTTCAGTACGGATACGCAATTCCTTAAACAATATCCAGCCACACGTTTCACAGTGATTATGCAACCAGTGGGCTATTGGCTCTTCATGGAGATCTCATGTGCCACCTTTTGATAAACTTAATATGCATACATCTGACCGAGGGGATCCCTGTGAAACTCTATGCACCCCCTATGCCCTCTACCATAGAATCATAGAAGATTAGGGTTGGAAGGGACCTCAGGAGGTCATCTAGTCCAACCCCCTGCTCAAAGCAGGACTAATCCCCAACTAAATCATCCCAGCCAGGGCTTTGTCAAGCTGGGCATTCAAAACCTCTAAGGATGGAGATTCCACCACCTCCCTAGGTAACCCATTCCAGTGCTTCACCACCCTCCTAGTGAAATAGTGTTTCCTAATATCCAACCTAGACCTCCCCCACTGCAACTTGAGACCATTGCTGCTTGTTCTGTCGTCTGCCACCACAGAGAACAGCCGAGCTCCATCCTCTCAGGTAGTTGAAGGCTGCTATCAAATCCCTCCTCTTCTCTTCTCGACTAAATAAGCCCAGTTCCCTCAGCCTCTCCTCATAAGTCATCTTCCCCAGCCCCCTAATAATTTTCGTTGCCCTCCGCTGGACTCTCTCCAATTTGTCCACATCCTTTCTATAGTGGGGGGCCCAAAACTGGACGCAATACTCCAGATATCAGAGGGGTAGCCGTGTTAGTCTGAATCTGTAAAAAGCAACAGAGGGTCCAGTGGCACCTTTGAGACTAACAGAAGTATTGGGAGCATAAGCTTTCGTGGGTAAGAACCTCACTTCTTCAGATGCAAGTAATGGAAATCTCTAGAGGCAGGTATATATCAGTGTGGAGATAACGAGGTTAGTTCAATCAGGGAGGGTGAGATGCTCTGCTGGCAGTTGAGGTGAATTTGACACCATCAGATCAGGATTAAACAAAGACTGTGAATGGCTATCCAACTACAGAAACAGTTTCTCCTCTCTTGGTGTTCACACCTCAACTGCCAGCAGAGCATCTCACCCTCCCTGATTGAACTAAC